CCATTGTATAGACACATTTCATTTACCCATCATCAGACAAGGGACATTTATATTATTCCCAGTTGGGGTTATGAATAGTGCTGCAGTGGACATTTGTGTGAAAGTTTTAGGAATGGAATTGAGTGTTCTGTAGAAAATAGCATTGTGATTTTAATCAGAATAATATTGAATTTGTAGATCACTTTGCGTTCTGTGGCTATCTTACCAAAATTAAGTCTTCCAATTTCTAAACACACACAGCTTTTCCATTTATTTTCATCTTCTTCAATTTATCTTTTTAAGTCCTTTATTCTTATTACAAAAGCGACATACAGAGGAATTACAATTAAATAAGTCAGGAAAAGAGTACATTTCTTTTTGGACAATGTCTCCCTTTCCCTCGCTCTCTCCCAGTTCTTCAATTTTTTTTAGCAACATTTTATAGTTTCCACTGTACGTGCCTTTCATTTACTTGTGTTTTGGTTGTTGTTGGTGTTGTTCTGTTCGTTTTTTGTGCTGGTGTTGTGGTTTGAACTCAGGGTCTGGCACTGTCTTTGAGCTTTTCTGATCAAGGCTAGCATTGTACCACTTAAGCTACAGCTCCACTTCCAGCTTAACTAGAGGTAAGAGTCTTCATAAACTTTCCTGCCCAGGCTAGCTCTGAATCACAATCCTCACATCTCAGCCTCCTGGGTAGCTAGGATTTCAGATGTGAGCCCCTGGTACTAGGCTGGTTGGGCTTATTAAGTATTCTGTTGTTTTGAAGCTACCATAAATGGAATTATTTTCTTAATTTCCTTTGGAATTGTTCATTATTAGTGTATAAAAATGCAACTGATTTTTTTCACAGATATTGTATCCTGAAACTTGGTTCGATTCAGTTTATAGTTATGACAGTTCTATGAAATCTTTAGGACTGTATAAACTTAGGATGTTCTACATGTAAGATCATGCCATCTACAAACAGACATTAGTTTCTCCTTTTCAGTTTGAATGTCTTTTCTATCTTTTTCCTACCCAGTGGGCTCTTGCTAGAACTTCCAGTCCTTAGTTAAGTAGAAATGGTGACAGCCTGTTCTTGGTGTTAAACACTTTATCTTTCCTCACTGAACAGAATGTTAGTCAGAGATGGTCTTTTTAAATTCTAGTTGCTGGGTGCTTTTACCATGAAAGAGTGCTGAATCTTGTCAACTGCTTTTTCTCCACCTGTGGGAATGATCATGTGTTATGTTTTTGTCTTTCATTCTCTTAATGTAATGAATGATACTGAATGGTCTTTATATGTTGGACCATCTTGCATCCTAGAAATAAAGACCTTTGGGTCATAATACATCCCCTAGGAAGACCCAGGTCCCCCTAAAGATGTCTGGGTTCACTCCTGAAGACAATGTCCTCATCTCCCAGTCTCCAGGGGAATGTAGAACAAATTCTACGACACCATTCAACAACAAACCCAGATGCACTGATTTCACAAGCATCTTTCTTTCTCCCTTCTTTCTTTTTTTTGGTAACTTCATTTTCCTAACACTATGAATCCTTCCTTCTTCCTAATCTCTCCAGATCATCCCTCCATTAACAACGCACTGCACAAACATTAGTTCCTTTCTGCTGAACAGTATATTCCCATATATTACTCAGCATTCCAATGTGGTGATGACTATAGCACTTACTGATTAAAATCTGCCCTTCCTCAGGACACAGGAGGCTCAGGCCTGTAATCCTAGCTATTCAGAAGTCTGAGCTCTTAAGATCACAGTTGGAAGCCAGCCTGGGCAGAAAAGTCCATGAGATTCTGATCTCCAATTAACCACCAAAACCAAACCAAAACAACACAAAAACTGCGAGGAGCCAGTGGCTCACGCCTGTAAGCCTAGCTACTCAGGAGGCTGAGACTGGAGGATCAGGTTCAAAGCCAGCCTGGGCAGGAAAGTTCGTGAGGCTCTTATCTCCCACGAACCACCAGAAAACCGGAAGTGGCGCTGTGGCTCAAGTGGTAGAGCTCTCGCCTTGAGCTGAAGAGCTGAGGGACAGTGCCCAGGGCCAGAGTTCAAGTCCCACGACCGACAAAAATAACAACAAAAACTAGGAAGTAGAGCTGTGGCTCAAGCGGTGGAGCGCCGTTCAGGGGCAGCACCCAGGTCCCGAGTTCAAACCCCAGGGCCGGCACAACCAAAATGGAATCTGTCGGTCACCTCTGGCAGGCTCTGCGGACCCTGCGGAGGAAAGTTCTAGACTCTGGGAACTGACACCAGGTTTCCTACTCTGCTTCACAACTTACTTTGACCGACCTGCGGCAGGAAGAGAGTAGGGAGTGTTTACAGGGAGGACGTGCCGCAGTCCCGGAAGCCTTCTGCAAGAGATTCCCGCCACCGAGCTCAGGCCGGTAACTCGCGAAAGGAGGAAACAGCACCTCAGAGCCAGGAAAGCCCTGAGCATGCGCCTCAGGCCTCCCCCAGCTTCTGCGCCTGCGCTCGGAGCGGTGCGGCGTTGCCAGGCAACGGCGGCGCTTGCGCCCTGGGCGTGCGGCGCCTCAGGACCTCCGCGCATCTACGCGTGCGCAGCAGTGGGTCTCTCATTGGACCGCTAGGTTCTAGAGTTTGACCCTTGCTGCTAGAAAGGGGAGTTCACAGCTCAGGGGCCCATTTTTTATTCTTTGTGCGTTCTTTGGATTGCCTCCAGAAGCTCCCTAGCTCCTGACTGCAAATCAGCTGGAAGTCATCTAAGGAAATTTAAGCTTATTTGGAAATGGCCTCTGCGTAGGGTTCATTTTTCCACCTCCCAGGACATACTTGGTGGATCCCTCAGATGTGTCTTCCCTCCTTTGACTGTCTAGAGAGCGTTCAGAATTGAAAGTTGAGTAATAGTTGATTTTAATAGGACGACACTCTTATATATTACATATATAAGATATATGGACATCTGCACAGAATATTTTGAAGTATGAACCATCAACAGATAATTGGATGCATTCCTCTCAAGGGAGAAGAAAGTAGATAGCTGAAGGATAGGGAAAGACAGTGAGTTGGTTGCTTTGTATCGTTTGGATTTTGTTCACATGTACGCGTACATTTGGTTCAATTGCCAGTTTCCAAGGAAATTTGGAAATTTAGAGGGCTGAGCAGAATTCTGCCATCTGGGGTTGCTAGGGGCCTCGTGCTGGCTCGGCAGGCACTCTACCGTTTGAGCCACACCCCAGTTCCTATTAGCAATACTGGGTAGAATTATCTGTATGTGGGAAGCTAAAAGTACAAAACTAAGTCTTCCTGTTTACTTTTGGGCAGAGAGCTTTGCGGCAGGATACAGGAAGAAGACAGACATTTGGGGATTTTTTTTCCCCTGCAATAGTAGCATACAGGAAACTGATGTCATTATTTCAATCATTGTATATTTGTTTGTGATTTGCTGAAAAGATTATATGAGCTCATGGAACTCCAACTTAAATTTGAAAGGATACATTTAATGTCTGTTTTTATAGAGGAGTAATTGAGTGTGATCAGCAAAGTTAAAACTTGAATATCCTCTTCTAATTAAGAACCCTTCTCTTGGTGAGAAATCTCCAAACTGGTTATGGTAGTCTTTCCCTCACCAATCTTGTAAAATAACTTCTGGTTCACTCCTTTCAGGGAACTGCTGAGGACAAAATTAAGCAGCTAGCTGTACCTAAGAGGATTTTTGACAAAACATTCAGGCTAAAAGAAGATCTGAGTCAAGATGAACCACTTGCATATTGTGCTCCAATGAGTAAACTACATCTAGGCAAAGATAAATATTTTACACCCCAAAGTTGGATTTTTAAAAAGTTAAAAGTTAAAGACCACAAGATATAATTTGTTCCTCTAAGTATGGCATGGATGTAAATGGAAACTGAGAAATTGAGCTCCCAAATACAATATTTTACGAATTGTATTTCGTAAGTAACTGCACAAATTAGCTCTTCTATCAAGAAATAAATGAGATCTATTAGATAATACATCTAATAGATACTTTAGATAATGTATAGACAATGGATACATTATCTAACAGATACAATGCCTAGGGGAAAAAATTCCCCTGCAGAAGAGGGGAAAAAAACCCAATACATCACAGTATGCACTTGATAAAGTTTATTTTTAAAAAAGAATAATAATTTATACCTTTGGCAAAATAAAAGATCTTGTAATATAAATGTTTCTTAGAAAACTATGAAAAGATAACATAACAAATATTAATAAATCAATATAACACTGCAGCAAAAATAATAATGATTCTATTGCCATGACAATTGAAGGTATTTCTGGCTTTTTTTTTTTTTTTGTCGACCGTGGGGCTTGAACTCTGGGCCTGGGTGCTGTCCCTCAGCTCTTCAGCTCAAGGTGAGCGCTCTACCACTTGAGCTACAGCGCCACTTCCGGTTTTCTGGTGGTTTATTGGAGATAGGAGTCTCTCGGTCTCTTCTGCCCGGGCTGGCTTTGAACCGCGATCCTCAGATCTCAGCCTCCTGAGTAGCTAGGATTACAGGCACGAGCCACCAGCACCCGGCTGGTATTTCTGGCTTTTATCCAGCAATATTTCTGGAAGGTTCTCTACATTCTTCTTTTCTTATAAAAATGAAAGGTGCTTTTATTTTAAGAAGGCCTAACACATACAAGTCTAAATTTAGGAAGTTGATCAAGGTTATTTATTTGTGTCACAAAATAATTCTTTACCAAAAAAGTTTACAAACGTTTCTGTTCCTGATCCTTAAAATACAATTTTTTTTGCTAAAATGTTTAGAGTATGATTAACCAAATACGAGTGTCCTCAATTTCTTTCCGGTTATACCTCCCTTGCACAACGTGAGATACACGTGCAATGAGGCTGTAACAAGAGCTGGACGTCAGGCCTGACTGGAGAGAATACTATTACTCACAGCATTGAAGAAATGGCCAGGAACACAGTTCCTCACCAATTTTTGGTTTCTCCCATCCAGAACTCTTATATTTCTTGTCTTGATGACTTTCTAGTAAACTCTGTCCCTATCAGGTACTCTCAGGATTTAAAGAAAAAGAAAAAAAGGGAGGAAGTCACAGGGAAGAGACACCTGAATGAATTAGTGAGTCACTCCAGTGGAATGCAGTAAGGGAGAGAATTGGAAGTTCAGAGTATGAATGCGAATGTGACTGGGAAAAGCAAGAACAATCTGGAAACTTCCATGTGGTACATGTCGAAACCTTCTTCCAGTAAAGGCTTCAGACTTCCTGGGGAGCAGCAGAGTTCAGTCCGGTCCTCCTTGGATGTGACAGGTGTTCAGAATAGACGAGAACTTACTTGTCACACTCCTCCTGGTTCCCGTCAGTACAGTGATAATGCTGCTCGCAGAACTCCTGGATCCGGCTGCAGGCCTCCAGCATCATCACCTCTGGGACGGTGATCACCACTCGGAAGAAATTCGGATACTCGAAGCACTGGAGTGGGGGTGGGGGGAAGCAATTGAGTCTGGTGGACTATTCTATAATCCATTGGAAGAGGTTGTGTCATTTTATCAAGGGAATCCGTTTGCTCAGTTCCCTATAGGGTTCGGTCACTGAGCTAATTCATCACAAAATGGGCCGTAAGAACTGGATCTCATCTTAGCTACAATATTTGTTTACAACATGGGGTAATTATGAGGGTGGGGTAGATGCCATGCATTTTCAAGTATCTACATCAGTCTGAATCTTATCAAATGAGTATCCACTTTGTGAAGGGAGAAAAGGTCAGGCTAAAAAAAAAAAATGCAGCAGGGCTGGGAAGGTGGCTCAGTGGTAGAGCGCTTGCCTTGCATGTATGAAGCCCTGGGTTTGATTCCTCAGCACCACATAAGCAGAAAAAACCAAAAGCGGTGCTGTGGCTCAAGTGGTAGAGCACTAGCCTTGAGCTGAAGAGTGAGGGACAGCGCCCAGGCCCAGAGTTCGGGCCCCATGACCGGCAAAAAAAAAAGCAGCTGGGGAGAGTTCTGGGGGCCCTAGAAACTTGAGAGAGGTGCAGTACTAACCGTTGCTGGGAGGCAGTGGACAGATTGCTCAGCCACCAACTGCTCTGTGAACTCCACGTCGTTCTCAAATTCTGGGAAATGGTGCATCTCAATGCCAACCTATACCAAGAATACAAAGGGGAGACAAGCTTAGAAGATGGAGGCTAAGTTCCTGTGCCAGAAATTAAGGAAGGGACGACTTTCAGGGATGTCATGGAATGTTATTATTGATCACTAAGAGTGCTAGCACTTAAGAACTCATGGAACTGGTGGCTTTCAAACCTATAATCTTAGCTACTTGATTGATGGAGCTGGAGGGATCAAGGTTCAAAACCAGCCTGGGTATAAAAGTTCATAAGACTAGCTGGGCACCAGTGGCTCATGCCTATAATCCTAACTACTCAGGAGGCTAAGATCTGAGGGTTGTGGTTCAAAGCCAGCCAGGGCAGAAAAGTCCCTGAAACTCTTATCTCCAATGAACCACCAGAAAACCGGAAGTGGCTCTGTGGCTTAAGTGGTAGAGTGCTACCCTTGAGCTGAAGAGCTGAGGGACAGTGCCCAGGCCTAGAGTTCAAGCCCCATGATCAACAACAAAAGAAAAGCTCATGAGACTTCATCTCAATCAATGGCTGTGTGCAATGGCACACACCTGACATTCCAGCTACAGGAAAAGCACAGTGATGTGAAACCTGTCGTCTCCAGTGACATAGAGGGTTGTAGCTCAAGCATAAAACAAGAGCGTGTCTCAAAGAAAACTAAGGCAGGGGGCCAGTAGCTCACCCCTGTAATCCTAGCTTTTCAGGAGGCTGAGATCTGAGGGTCACAGTTAAAAGCCAACTCAAGTTTATGAGATCCTTATCTCCACTAAACTGCCAAAAGACCTGGAAGTAGAACTGTGGCTCAAGGAGCCACAGCTCCTTGAACAAAGGAGCTCCGGGACAGAGCCCAGGCACTGAGTTCAAACCCCACAACTGGCACCAAAAACAAAAAAAGAAAATTAAGGCAAAAAAAGGCTGGGAGTGTGACTCAAGGGGTAGAATGCTTGCCTTGCAAGCACAAGACCTTGAGTACTACAAAAAAAAAGGGAGGGAGGAGGAAGGAAGGGAGGGAGGGAATAAAGAAAGAAAATTCATGGCATTTTCCACATACACAGGAAGAAAAGCTAGTGTGCCTGTGTTCAATTAGCATTCAGGCCAAGTCATTCCTTATTGCATGAGACTGTTCAACACACTGCAGGAACCATGGAATATTTATCATCCTTGGGCCACAAAATGGTGACAGTACCCCACAGCCATCCTGAAAACAAGTGGAATTCCCCTACCAGTCACAAGCATCCATAGGGAACATATCATTCCCATTCATGAGCTATGAAGAATAGAAGACATCTTCTCCATGTCTCATAAATTCCCTGTGTGTGTGTATAAAAATGATTTGCTGTGCTGAGAAATTAAGTCATTTGAAGAGTTTTACGAGCACTGAGAACAGATGACGTCAGTGAGCCAATTCAGAACAAAGCCTCAGCTGGCTGGCTCAGGAACCTAGCCCATATGTGTCTTTGTAAATGGCGCGGCATAGCCTACCTAACACCACCATGCTGTCCCAGCAACCCACCTCCCAGGTTTTATGACACACATTGATTTAATGCCCAGCCTCCAATGTGCTTACCATGAGGTACATGGCCCCAGAGGGGCGGACTGGCTGGAGTCCAGGAATGGCCGCCAATGCTGCATAGCACAGATCAGCATTGGACTAGAAGAGGAGGCAGAGAGAACACCGACAATCAGATTTTAAGTTTACACAACAACAACCGCAACAACTGTGTGACAGTGGTTCAAGCTGGTAATCCTAGCTACTCAGGACGGTGAGATCTGAAGATTGAGGTTCAAAGCCAGCCCCGGCTGGAAAGTTTGTGAGACTCTGTATCTCCAAAGAATCATCAAAAAGTCACCAGTGAAGGTGTGGCTCAAGTAGTAGAGCACTAACCTTGAGCAAAAAAAAAAAAATTAAAGCAGGGACAGTGGGTCCTGAGTTCAAACCCCAGGACTGGAGCGTGTGTGCATGCACACACACACACATGCATACACACGCACACACACACACCTTCGATGTCATCGATCTTCTGGCATTGGAGTCAACAAGAAAAAAAACCTCACTGTCTTCCAGTTTGTGAGGCCAGAAAGTGAGGATGTGTGGGTCGCTCTACGGATGCCACATCCTTCAGAGAGAAACCCCATCCTGGAATGGTGCCCTGGACTAGTTATTCTTAATTCTACTGGTGACATTCAGAGTCCCCAAGTCAAAGCCCACAGGCTGCCCTTACCTTGAGGAAACTTAGGGTGTTGTGGTAGAACTCTTGAGGGGTACGACGGAGGATGCTTTTCAGAGCTCCCTGGACGATGGTACAGGGACCCAAGATTCGCTGACTCAGCTTCACCAGCCCATCTCGGATCTAGAACCCCACCCCAAGAAACACAGCCATTGAGCCTTGTGTAAGTATCCCCACTTATGTGGGTGAGTCTTTTCCTGACCTTTCTTCCTATCAGGTTTTTGACTTCAGGAAGTAAGGGGGACTTGTGGCACGCAGATCAGATAGCTTGGGTCTACAGTCTTCTCTGCCTCCAACCCACCGTGACGGTGGACAGATAATAGATAGAACCTTTCGGCATCTTGGTTTTGCTCAGGTGTAAATGGAGACAATACAAATACTAGCCTCATGGGTTTGAGGACTGAATTAAAATAAGATCCATAAAACACTAGCCCGTGGTAAGCCCTTGGTCTTCATTGTTATGACTGTTACAGTTTTTTAATTTTTTTTATCTGCTCTAAAATAGGAAGTGCATGGGGCATCTTCACAGATCCAAAAATCCATGAAAACTGAATTTGGGAGAGGAAATAATAACAACTGACTTTTCTAGTGAACCATAAAGCCAAGAAGAAAAGCCAGTGTGGAAAGGAAAGATGGAACACTACCACCTCACCACTCCACACACAGCCCAGAGATATACATCCTAAATCCCACAGATTGGCTCACCAAATTGCTCTCACCTCATTGCCAAGAATATCTCTTCGGTCATGGATGAGGATCCAGCCCATCCTCCAGCCAGGAACCAGCCAGCGCTTGGCCAGCCCACCACAGGACAGAATGGGGACATGGGTGCTGAGAGTGGCCAAGGGTTCATATTTGCAATCCGAAAACACCTGGGGACAATGAGTTTTCTTGCTTACTTTCCTCTGGATCCCATGGCCCCCCCTTCTATCTCAGGGGCAGAGTGGGGGAGGGGGGTAGACAGGACACCAGACTCACAGGGCTCCCTACACTGAAGCATAATTGGAATTCCAGGGAGCATCAAACCCCTTTGATGCAAGTGCGCTGGCTTTGGTGTCTGGATTGGATTAGAGGGAGTTTAAATGAGGGAAGCGAATCTAGCTCCATGTAGGTTGCTGGGTGGGATTCATGACTGTAGGAGTTATTATAGAATTTAAAATAAAATGGGGGTGCACCATCTCTTAGGTAAAATTCCTGGGCCCACTGATACTATAGAATAGAGAGCTGCTTGGATTCCAGAAACGCCATCAAGCATCCTACACGATGTAACATTCCCAGGGCAGGCTAGGATAGCACCCCTAATCAAGAATAGTAACATTTCCACCATTCTATTCTGTGTGTTTGCACACTTCTCCTGGCTGAACCCCTCCCCCCCACACACACACTAAATGTTCATCTACCAGTGACAGAAGTAAAAAGTCTACAAATGTCTTCATAACAGGTCAATCAGGCTCTGCAATTCCATTCCAAACATGTTCAGATTTTCAAAAGCTTTTTGGATGTCAAAAGAGAAAAGAATTGTAGGGCCGCACATGTGTTAGGAGTGTGCAAGGGAACTGATTTTGCTGTAGTGACGTGATTAGGACTTCCTTCTGATTACTCCAGCTGCCTACTTTAGAGGTCTCTAGAACTGACTCTAGAGTCCATTTGGGATTGAGATGATAGAAGTCATGAATCCTGTCCCACACTTACCATGTCTCCATAGATCTCATCGGCCAAAATGGGAACGCACTGCCTTGCAGCCACTGAAAATAAGAAAAACATGATGGAATCTTTTGTTGCTGTTGTCATGGTAGCCCAGGCTAACTTCAAACTTGTGAAGCTCCTGCCTCAGCTTCCTGAGAGGCCAAATTACCATGTGCACCACCATGCCCAGCATGGAATTATGTTTAAAATGAGGTGCCTTGTCATTTCATCTTCACCTGGGCTTACTATGCTTCACAGTTCATGTTTGCATGTTTGGTCCTCTTGTAAGAACAGTAAATTGGGGGCTGGGAAGGTGGCTGAGTGATAGAGTGCTTGCCTTGCATGCATGAGGCCCTGGGTTTGATTCCTTAGCACCACATAAGCAGAAAAAGCTAGAAGTGGTACCGTGGCTCAAGTGGCAGAGCGCAAGCCTTGAGCTGAAGAGCTGAGGGACAGCACCCAGGCCCAGAGTTCAGGCCCCATGACAGACAAAAAAAAAAGAAGAAAAGAAGAAGAATGGTAAATTTTTCTGAAACTCTTCTAGGATTGAGAGCCTAAATTTGCTGTTTAATTAGTTTAGGTATTCCAAACCCTGTCTTCCACATAATGGGAGGGGTACAGAGGCAGCTGTGGATGGGTTAAAGATCTCTTATCCAAAATATCTGGGCAAAGCTGGGCACTGGTGGCTCACACCTGCAATCCTAGCTGCTCAGGAGATTGAGATTTGAGGATCAAGGTTCAAAGCCAGCCTGGGCAGGAAAGTCTATGAGACTGTTATCCTCAATTAACTACCTTAAAAAACTGTAGCTCAAGAGGTAGAGCACTACCCTTGAATACAAAAGCTCAGGATCAGGGCCTAGACCCTGAGTTCAAGGCCTAAGATGCCACTGGGAAGAAAAAAAGTTTGGGGAGCAGAGGCATTTCAGATCTTGGTGTTTTTTTCTTTGTCAGTTGTGGGGCTTGAACTCAGGGCCTAGAGGCTGTTCCTGAACTACTTCACTCAAGGCTAGCACCCTACAACCACTTTGAACCACAGCACCACCTCTGGTTTTCTGGGGGTTAATTGATGATAAGAGTCTCATGGACTTTCTTACTCCAGTTGGCTTTGAACCACAATCCTCAGATCTCAGCCTCCTGAGCAGCTAAGATTACAGGCGTGAGCCACCAGTGCCCAGCCCAGATCTTGGATTTTTTTTGTTTTGCTTTAGATTTTAGAATAGTCACACTAGTTTGCCAGTTGAGCATTCCTAATCTAAAAAAAAAAAAGAATCTGAAATGCACCTTTGTGGAGTGTTCTGAATTTGGGATTTGGGGGTTAGAGACAGGTGGTATTTCTTTTCTTTCTCTTTTTTTCCTTTTTATGCAAGTGCTGTCATTCTGAAATGCCAGTGGCGCTCATGTACCACCCACTCAGGTTTAGGAACTTAGGGAAAAGTCTTAGGAAACAAGAAGCATGCCCTCTCTGCCTCCTCCCAGGGCATGTGCTATCTGCTGGACTTACCCTCCAGGATCTTCTGAAGGTGACTCTTCCTGAACACCGACCCACAGGGGTTTGATGGGTTGTTGACAATGAGGCAAGCTGTCTTTTCATCAATCAGAGATTCCAGTTGTTTCAGATCAATTTCCCAAGACTGCTCAGGCTGGAAAGAAGAAAGGATGAAATTCAGATGATTTAGGAAATTTTTTCGAGGGGGACATGCAACCTAACAATGCAGAGCCAGTGCTAAAATTTGATTTGGGCCTCAACTACCTAATTCTAGACCTTTCTCTGTGAGGTAATGCTGAAAGAGAGGGGGAGGGTGTATTTTTCCCCCAGTCCTGGGACTTGAACTCAGGGCCTGGGAATTGTATCTGAGCATTTTTGCTCAAGGCTAATGCTCTATCACTTGAACCACAACTCCACTTCTGGACTTTTTGGTGCTCCATTGGAGATACGAGTCTTATAAACTTTCCTGCCTGGGCTGGCTTTGAACCATAGTCCTCAGATCTCAGCCTCCTGAGCAGCTAGGATTACAGGTGTGAGTCACCAGCACCCAATATATGGTCATGCTTTTTTATAGAGTAGAAAATGGAGCCTTTGAGTATGAAGTTTAAAAAGTCACTTACCAATAGATTGTAGAGTTTGACCTCAATTCCCATAGATTCAGCCAAAGTCCTGTAGAGAGAAAATCCAGGTCTCGGAACAAGGATGTTTTGTCCTGGGTTGGCCAACACAGCTAGACAAAGTTCAATAGCCTGACTACAGCCACTTGTCAGAATGACATCCTGTGAAGATAATAATAGTTCTCAGGAGAAAAGAGCTTATCAGGGTGGTAAATTAGGAGTCATAATAAATTTGCTTTTAAAACCTCTATGTGAACTGCAGGGGCAGTCCTAAGCCTCAATCAAATACTCCACCAAATGAAATGATTTGTCTATATCTGTCTATTTAAATATTGTTGAAAGTGTCAGCCACTTAAGAGAAATAAATCACTAAATAAAGGACACATTGGCTATGAGTCAGTCAATTTCCAGGAGACTTTGGACTGTCCTTGGACTTTTTCCCCTAGTTATTTATTTACTTTTGGCCAAAGATTTAAAGCCTGGCTTCTCTCTGATGTAGAGATGTTAGCAAATGTCTGCCCCACACGGTGGACAATAAAGGAAAGAGTAGCATCTGACCTTGCTACTGCCCCAGGACCTCTCAATATTAGATGTGAATGTGCTAAGGCAAATGAAGGAAAATACAAATAAAAACAGACTCTAGAAGGAGAGGGTAACAGTGTTCAAAAAGGAAGTCATGGGGCTGGGAATGTGGCTTCACGGTAGAGGGCCCAGAGTGAAGCCCTGGGTTCAATTCCACAGTACCACATAAACAGAAAAGGCTGGCAGTGGCACTGTGGTTCAAGTGGTAGAGTGTTAGCCTTGAGCAAAGAAACTCAGGGATAGCACCCAGGCCATGTGTTCAAGCTCCAGGACAAAGAAAGAAGGAAAGAAAAGAAAGGAAGGAAGGAAGAAAGGAAAGAAGGAAGGAAGGAAGGTCATTACTTGACTTATGTAATCCTCCATACATCACCTTTAACAATAAAATTTAAATAAAAAAGATTCTACTGGCAATATTATTTGGTGTTTATGAATTGAATTTATTTTTGCCAGTCCTGGGGCTTGAACTCAGGGCCTGGGCACTGTGGTGAGCTCCTTTATTCGAGGCTAGTGCTCTACCACTTGAGACACACACCACTTCTAGCTTTTTCTGTTTATGTGGTACTGAGGAATCAAACCCAGGGTTTCATGCATGCTAGGCAAGCACTTTACCACTAAGCCACATTCCCAGCCCCAATGAATTGAATTTTAAGTGATCTTTTGTAGGAAAATTAAACCTAGGGTAGGCCTCCTGTGACAGATACTATGTAAGTTATAAATTTCCATATAGTACACTGATATTAACTATAATCACTGATTAGTGGCCCCAAGTATATAAGAAATCCTCAACTTAATAGCAGGGAATTCTGATGTTTCCCCTCTTCAAGACTATTAATCTTTGTGGATTAATGGAAACAAGGAAAGTTTGTCTAGGTGCCAGTGGCTCATACCTAGCCACTCAGTAGGCTGAGATCTGAGTGATCACAGTTCAAAACTAGACCAGGCAGGAAAGCTCATGAGACTATTATCTCCAACTAACCACCTAAAAGCTGGAAGTGGAGCTGTGGCTCAAGTGGTAAAGCACCCGTCTTGAGGGGCAAAAGCCAAGGGACAGAACCCAGTTACTCTGAGGGGAAGGGGAGAGAGAGAAAATGAGAGAGAGGAGAAGGAGGAGGAGGAAAAGAAGGGGGAGGAGGGAGAGGGGTGAGAGGGAGGAGGAGAAGGATAAGAAAGAAGGAGGGAGAGAGGGAGGGAGGGCGGGCAGGAGGAGGAAGGGAGGTTGGTTTGAGCAGCGCTCACCTTAGCTTCCAGTGGTGCCTCGGGGCAGTGGTAGTAGGAAGCAATCTCCTCCCGGCTGGACAGGTAGCCTGAGAAAGAGAGTGAGCAAAGGAAGCTGGAGGTTCTCATCCTGTACTGGGCATCTATGCCCAGAGCGAGCATGAGTTTCAGCCGCCTCCTACCAGTGCTCAGGGCGCAGTCTACTCAGCTGAGTTTTCAAACACAGTAGACAAAGGAGAATAACTTTAAATTTTATTACAGACGCAAATAATAAAAACAAATGTATGGATACAAATAATAAAATGAAATAGTCCCCCTAACTATAAAATACTCTGCAGTGTCTTGATTAGCGTATTATGATTAGTTTAATCCGCTGTAGGATAAAGGACTTATATTTAAGTTCATTTTATAGATATATACATGTATACTAGAAAAGTTGTCATTATTTAATTCAATACCTATAGTCTAGTTTAAAGGCTTTCTTTTAATGTCCTGTAACATACTTTGACTTTTGTACACATTTTTACTTTTGAATCATTTTCTTATACATTTTTTCCAAATTTGACTTCTAACCTTGATGTCTTGATAGGTTCATGTCCAATATAATATTTTGCAAAAAAAAATTCTACTCAAAAAAAAAAAAACAAACTAGCAAAATCAGAGGCAATATTTCATGTTTGTTAGCAGGTACAAATGAGTACCTCAGAATTACATAATTAGCACTCCCCTAACTACTTCTAACTACTCCCCTACCTTACTACACAAGGTTCTAGGCCTCTGAACATTTGTCTAGCAGAGATTACCTTTCACTTTTCCAGCCTGAACCACTTCCCTAGTACTTTGCGTATTACAGCCATTATACACTTTTTCTAATCTAATTTTAGGTCTTCAATATGACTCTTGTTGTATGAAACTTTCTAATATATAAACAATCAACCTAAACACCACATCCCTGACAACTCTTTGCAGGCTCTGTAAATTTTGATTTTAGCATGAAACTAGGTTGTTTTTTTGTTTTTTTTTGTCGGTCGTGGGGCTTGAACTCTGGGCCTGGGCGCTGTCCCTCAGCTCTTCAGCTCAAGGCAAGCGCCCTACCACTTGAGCTACAGCGCCACTTCCGGTTTTCTGGTGGTTTATTGGAGATAGGAGTCTCACGGTCTCTCCTGCCCGGGCTGGCTTTGAACCGCGATTCTCAGATCTCAGCCTCCTGAGTAGCTAGGATTACAGGCGTGAGCCACCAGCGCCCGGCTGAAACTAGGTTTTTATTGGCTGAGAATATGTTTGTGCCAGGCATGGTGGCACACAGCCTGCCATTCCAGCTGCTCAGGAGATGAAATAGGAGGATCACAGTCTGAGGCTGGCCCAGGCAAAAGCATAAGACTCTATCTGAAGTAAAACAACAAAAAGGATTAAGGCTGCGTGGCTGAAGTGGTAGCAATTAGCCTGAGGCCTGGTTCAATGTCCACCATACACACACACACACACACACACACACACACACACCAAATATCTTTATATTTATTATGTATGTACTCATTACATATACATATATTTACATTATATTTTAAATAAGTATTATGATAAATACATGTATTTTATTACACATACTACACACACACACACACACACACACACACACACACACACACACGGGGAAAATATGCAACACAGAAATAAAGCCAACCAATCATTTATTTCACCAAAACCATTAGGCGAGAAATTTTTTAACAGATAGGGTTACATCTAAATAAGAATAATTTCCTTCTATCTAAAACAACCCTTGATCCTTCCATGTAATAGCCCATTCTTTGTTGTGTTTTCTCTTTTTCCTTTTTTTTTTTTTTGCCAGTTCTGGGGCTTGCACTAAGGGCCTGGGCATTGTCCTTGAGCTTCTTTTGCTCAAGGCTAGCACTCTACCACTCAAGCCACAGCACCACTTCCAGCTTTTTCTGTAGTACTCAGGAATCGAATCTAGGGCTTCATGTATGCTAGGCAAGCATTCTACCACTGAGCCACCTTCCCAGTCCTTTGTTGTTTTTGTGCCAGTCCTGGGGCTTGAACTCAGGGCCTGGGTGCTGTCCCTGTTCTTTTTCTGCTCATAGCTGGCATTCTACTGTGAGAGCCATAGCTCCCCTTCTAGCTTTTTGATGGTTAATTAGTGATAAGAGTTCTCACAGACTTTCCTGCCTGGGAATGGCTTCGAACCATAATCCTCAGAGCCAAGTTGCTAAGATTCCAGACTTTTATTGTTTGTGAACTCCTTATTTTAAACAAAGTTGTGTTGCCAAGTGATCTGGACTGTAATAAAAATAGACCCTCAATGCATACAAGAGAAGAAATGAAGCAAAAAGAGCTGTTTACATAGGGCAGACATTAATGTAGGGCTTCAAGAACTAGGTAAACAGGCAGCCAGACTCAAGATCTTCCTCATAGAATAAATAGTAACAGGGTAGGAGCACTGTGTATGGAGTAAGTATGTCTGAGAACCTAGGGGGAGGTGGCAGTCTGCCAGTGGAAGCCAGGAAAGAAGTTCTTTGGATGCCTTTAAGCATCCAGAGTGACACCCCCTCTCCCCAATCCCAAATGACTGTTCAATCTTTGCCCCTCCTTCAAAATTACACTTTAGACTAGCTAGCAGAATTCCTATAGGGCTATGAAAAGAACACAGAAAGCCAGGCCTAGTGGCAAACACCTCTAATCTCAGCACTACAGAGGCAGAGGCGGGAAGATCATGAGTTCGAAGCCAGCCCAGGCTACTTAATAATAAATACTTAAATAATAATACTTAAACGATCTGGACCCCATCAGGTCTAACGTGAGGAGAAGCTTACCAATGGACGGGGCGTAACCATTGTATTTCCCCGAGTCCAGAGCATCTTTCATTGCTTGGGTAACTTCAGCGTCTGTAGGCAGATTTCCAAACACAGTAGGGTCTCCTATTCATGGGAAGGAAAAAAGGAAAAGGAGTCACTGCTGCAACCTGTTCAGGGCCTCTGAACCGGCCCTGACCAGAAGCAAGGAAGTGATGGAGACTGGACCACACCGTGGAACTGAGGTTTGGGGTACCAGAGGACCTGTAGCTTTTCACCAGCTGCAGATACCATGGTTCCATTCACCCAGGTTTTTATTGGTCTTGTGCAGGAAGTAAGGTACCAACTTCAACAGGTGACAATATTTTGTATACAAGTGGTAGGTGGCCTCTCTTCTGGGAAGGAGAGCCATTTGCATAAATCTAGGTCTATCCTCCTGTTCCCACACAGTTTAGGGTGGAGTTAGCCCAAGATAGAAATCTGAATTCCCACAAAGGCGGGACTGATTGACCTGTCCAGGACATCCTCAGTGTTCTGAAAGTATGTGGGGAGAAGGCCTTCCAAACTCCCAATCCTTTCAGGGTCTCATAGTTTAACTTTTCAGGCTCTTACAAGCCACCAAGACTCAGATTCACTCCCTTCTCCCATCTTTCCCAAGCAGCCCATGAGGACAGGAGCAGGGCGATGGTACCTCTCTATCAAGTTTCCCCAGCTTACCGATGGACAGAGAAATCATGGTTTTGTTTGGATTCGGCTTGACCTTCATGCTGTCCACGATGGCCCGAATGGGATTGAAAGTTTGGTTGGCCATGTCAGAGGGCCTCACAGACCACCGGGGCTTCCTGCCTTTCATTTTTCCTGGCAATGAGCTTCTCCCCCCGATGTTGACAGGTACGTCCAGTACTGGAGGCAGGCTGCCATTGCTGCTCATCTGAATCGTGTAGGAGTCCATCCCCACGAAGCCCTGTGGGGGAAAGAAGAGGGTCTTTGTGATGTCCAGATCCAGGCTCCATCGGCCCTCCGGCCCTAAGCAGGGACATAGGATGTCTTTCCAAATTCCCTTCTTTGCTTTCTCTTGAAAAGTACTTTTATTATGAATAAGGAGCATTTTTACACATTTGGCGAAGATGAGAAATAAAGCAAAAACCCATTCTGCAATCCTTGCACAGAACATGCGGTGGAATACTTACTTTAATTAAGACTTGTGATATGCAATTGTAATCCTAAATTACAGTTTTTGATTACAGGCTTACCACATTCTAGGTAAAACCAAGGTCAAAGATGACAAGACTTCACTCAACAATCAAGGCACACGTGTTCCCTCCTGAACACACAAAGACCTCAAGAAAGCTCGTCTCTGGTGCTTCTTCAACTCTCTATGTCTTACCCTCTACAGGGAACTAGCAAAAACCATCCCAAGCATTAGAATTATTATAGTATTGATATTACTGGTAGAACTAGTGTGGCACTGATGGCTCACATCTGTAATCCTAGCTACTCAGGAGGCTGAGATATGAGGATCATAGTTCAAATCCAGCCAGGGCAAGAAAGTCCATGAGACTCTTTTCTTCAATAGCCACCAATAAGCCAGAAGTAGAACTGTGATTCAAGTGATAGAGTGCCAAGCCTTGAGCAAAAAAGCTAAGGAACAGTGCCTAGGCCCTGAGCTCAAGCCCCAGTACCAGCAAACATACACACACACACACACAATATTACTATTAAAACTAAACTCCTAGTCCATAAGCACCACACAGTCCTACAGGAAAAAAGAAGCCAACTCATCAGAAAGAAAAACTCAAACCCAGTCAACACCACAGAACCAGCTGAGGCTTGGGGCTTACCTTCCACAAATAGGAGAAGCAGTTCTAATGAGCCAAACCTGAATGCTCACCAGTTCTCTAACCAGAATGGACTCAGGTACAAAGCCTGACTCCTGAAGTAGTCCACATTCATGGGTGTTGGGCCTGGACCTTTAATGCTATTGGTTGCAATAAGAGCTAATCCCACCCCCAGGCTTCTTTCCTCCCTTCCTCTCCCCAGTCTGATGTTTCTCACCCCAACCCTAAGCCGCCCTCCAATCAGAATCTGTCTTCTAGCTAAACTTCTGAAAGTCTATGTTAACCCTGTTCAGTCACTTGATGAGATGCAGAGAATATTATTGGAGGGCAAATATGATGATAGTCACTATTCTTCACTTTGTTGTAATAGCATGCATTGAATTGCACAAAGATGGGGCAGGTTTTGTTGTGATATTTCCACACTTCAGCCAATAATAGTTATTAAATCCCTTTTGTAGCTTGGAGGTAGTAGCACATCCTACTTACTCAGGAGGCAGAGAAAGGAGGATTGTAAATTTGAGGCCAGCCCAGGCAAAAATAAAAAAATTTTAAAAATGAAAAGCAAGAGATTTGGGGGCACTTAAGAGTGCCCCGGTACACGGGCAAACCGCCAGGTTCCGTCTCCAGCATCACAGCATTCTGTTGTCATCATGAAATAAGTATTTACAACTAGCAATAGAAAAAAAAGTCTATGAAGTAAAATGTGAGAGTCCTCTCTTGAACCTCTGTGTTTGTGGACTGCATTCTCATTCCCAGGGGCAGGTGGTGATAGATTTGCTTGAAAACTTGTCTAATGTTAAATGGAGAAGTGGGTTTTTTGCATACAACTGTAATCTCCACAAGAACTCCTGGTAAAACCAAAGGAAAATCTTATCCATTCACCAAGACGGGATAGATAGATGATAGCTAGATCAATAGACAGATTGCAATTTTATTGATTTTCAAACCACATAAGATCATGTCCCACATCTTGTTTGACAGCATTCTTTTCTCTATATCTTGAACACCATTTTCCAGCCCACGAAGTTCCTCAGTCCACAAAGTTTTGGATCCCAGTTGGAACAAATTGGGCAAGTTGTAATAAGTTAAACATCAACAATGCCTTAAAAGTACAGGGCATTTACCTACTCTCGAGAGATTGCAAGGATATGATGTCAAATGATATCTAGACAAAACACAAACAAAGCAGGAGAGCCACAGCTGGAAATCCCAGCACTCAGGATGAGCCTATAAAAACATCACCCACTCAAAGGTCAAGACAAGACTACCTTCCAGTGTTCAGATCTCATCTGTTCATTTGTTGGGACACAGTATTACCCAACCTCTTCTGTTCTCCATCTTTTGTTTGTGAGTAGAGTGTCTGGTGGGGTTGAATAACAATTTGTGCTTTTCTGGATTATTCATCTCTTAGCATTCTCCAGACCTTGTCTCATGTACCCACCTTGCCTCTCCAGTGAAGCAAGAAGTTAGCCCTTCATTTTACCCATAGGGGGAAAGCATCAGGTGAGAGCAGACAGCTGACCTTGTCTTTCAAAGGTTATAATGTAGAACCTCTGAACCCTGAGCTCAATAACCAGAGTTACTCGGTCTCAGAGAGGTGAACACACAGCCCTATCTCTGGACTATCCAAAGATATAGAGAAGGAAATATTACACAGCCATAAATTCTAAAAATGAAATTATGTCCTTCACAAGAAAATGGATGCAACTGTTAGACTTCATACCTGGTGAGATAAGCCAAGCTAAAAAAAAAAAAAAAGGTGGCTCATGCCTGCAATCTTAGCTACTGAAGAGGCTGAGATCTGAGAATTGAGGTTCAAAGCCAGCCAGGTCAAGAAAGTCCAGGAGATTCTTATCTCCAATTAACCACCAGAAAACCAGAAGTGTCACTGTGGCTCAAGTGGTAGAGCACTAGCCTTGAAGTGAAGAGCTGAGGGACAGTGCCCAGGCCGTGTTCAAGCCCCATGACCAACAACAACAACAAAAAAAGGGCTGGAAATGTGGCTTAGTGGTAGAATGCTTGCCTAGCATGCATGAAGCCCTGGGTTTGATTCCTCAGTATCACATAAGCAGAAAAAGGCAGAAGTGGTATTATGGCTCACATAGTAGAGTGCTAGCCTTGAACAAAAGAAGCTAAGGGACAGTGCCCAGGCCCTGAGTTCAAGGCCCAGGACTGGCAGAAGGAAAGAAAGAAAGAAAGAAAGAAAGAAAGAAAGAAAGAAAGAGAGACAGAGAAAGAGAGAGACAGAGAAAGAAAAATCGAAAGAGAGAAAGAGGGAGAGAGAGAAAGAAAGAAAGATATTGGAGTCACACCTGTAATCCCAACTACTCAGGAGGCTGAGATTTGAGGATCGTGGTTCAAAGCCAGCCAAAGCAGAGAAGTCCATGACATTCTTATCTCCAATTAAGCACCAACCTACCCCCCTCAAAAAAAACCCAGAAATGGATCTATAGCTCAAGTGGTAGCGTGTTAACCTTGAGCAAAAAAGCTCAGGAACAGCACTCAGACTTTGAGTTTAAGCCCCAGGACTCGTACACACACAAAAAAAATTGGATGGTTACACTCATTTGTGGAAGCCAGACATAAAAGATACACATATTCATGAACATGTACATTCACATCTATGATATATATGGACTACATATAATACATGAATATATGGATACCCACAAAACATAAATCTAATTAAGGGACTACTTAGGAGATGAAGTTCCTTCCTTTTTATAGCTGAATGTCATCCTGTGGTATACACAGACAATAATTTGTGTGTCCACTCACCAGCTGATGGACATTTGCCTTGTTTCCATATCTAGGGGGGTGCTATCATGAATAATGATGCCATGAATCTCTGAGTGCACACCTTTATTTATTTATTTATTCATTTTTTTTCCAGTCCTGAGGACTGAACTCAGGGCCTGGGCACTGTCTCTGGGCTTCTTTTTTGCTCAAGTGGTGAGCCACTTGAGCTATAACCCGCTTCCAGCCTTTTCTTTCTTTCTTTTTTTTAGTCGGTCGTGGGGCTTGACCTCTGGGCCTGGGTGCTGTCCCTCAGCTCTTCAGCTCAAGGCTAGCGCTCTACTACTTGAGCCCCAGCACTCACTTCCATCTTTTTCTGTATATGTGGTACTAAGGAATTGAACTCAGGGCTTCATGTATGCTAGGCAAGCGCTCTCCACGAAGCCACATTTCCCGCCCCATCTGAGTACAAACTTTTGTATAAAGAGATTCTCAGTTCTCTTATATGTATGCCGTGAAGTTGCTCTGAGTCACTACATGTCTAGGGTTTTATCCTCGGTGGGCACCTCTCATGTTTCTTAGGTCTTTATGCTTTGGGAATTGTCTGTACATGGCTCTCGCCCATCTCTCTACAGGGGATTCCTCTTTTTCTAAGACCTTGGGCCTAGAACTGTGAGGTAACAAAACAGCAGCTGTGGGATTGTGGGTGGCTTCCTCTGTCTCAACCCAACTGGCCGAGATTCAGGTTTACAGATCAAAGAGCAGCGGGCAGCACGGGGTCAGGCAGGTGGTCCTGCAAATAGAGCCTCTGACGCAGAATTTACAGGCAGAGGGGGGAGTGTGGAGGGCATGGGAGGGGAGGAGGGGGGCGGTCACAGCTACCTGTGACCCCATAGACATACATACCCTCACCTCTGCTTGGGTGGCCCCATCAGAACTTAGATCAGAAGAGAAAACAGACAGAGCAAATACATTTTGGTAATACCCATCATCCATAGCTAATGTTTTCTGTCAGTAGAAAGCAGATGAAGTCAGATGCTGATGGCCCACACCTGGAATCCTAGCTACTCAGGAGTTTGATATCTGAGGATTATGGTTTGAAGCTAGCCCAGGCAGGCTCATGAGGCTCTTCTCTTCAATAAGCTGGAAGTAGACCTGCAGCTTTCAAGGGGTAGAGTGCCAGCCTTAAGCAAAAAGAAACTAAGAGACAGTGCCCAGGCCCTGAGTTCAGGCCCCAGGACCAACACACACACACACACACACACACACACACACACACACGAGTAGAAACCCATTTCTCGCCCTGCAGATGCTTTTGGGGGTCTCTGAGGAGTCCTTTCTTACATTTTTTTGTTTTTGTTTTTGTTTTTATCAGTCC